CCCTAGAGGCTGAGCCACTCACACAGGTGGCTGCGAAAGAGGCGGCAGAAAAGACTGCTCCTAGGGCTGGAGGGCGGGAAGTTCGGCAGCCAGGTGATGTGTAAAGGGACTACAGGCCCAGCGACCCAATCCTGAAACTATTTTTCAGCTCTACACAACCCTTCCCCTCACGAGTTGTCCAGTCATCTCCTGCTGCTTTCAGAGAGACCAAGTAAAGTCTCAACTCCCCTGGGGGACCTGGAGCCTCAGGGAAGACGAGATATTTGAGCCTCAAGAATATTTGAGCCTCTCCTTATCCTCAGTGCACATCATAAACCCAAAGAGAGTCCGTCCATACTCAGTTTCTCTTTCCGGGACCCCAAAGATTCCAGGCACCAAAGGTACCTTCGGGCACTTTAGGTGCCTGGCGGGGAGGTCACACCTGTTTGCTAAGAAATCCCAGACTCTCCTAAGTCTTGAACCCTGGCAGATCCTTCACGTCCCATATTCCAGAGTCTCTACCCAAAGGGGCTCCCTGTCCCCCCCACTCCCCCCTGGTCCCTGCCCGCCCAGCAGACGGACTCCCCGCAGGGCCAGACCTTCCTTCCGGGGACCTCTCCTCGCGGAGAGCCGCCCAGCCCGCGCGCAGCTAGGAGCCCTGGGGCCCTGGGGCGCCCCGCCCGCAGTCCCCAGAGTCGCATGACCGCCCAGTCCCCGGGAGCGCAGTGTCGGGTGCTTACCCGCCAGCGCGGCCATGGTCCCGGACGCCGAAACCGGGCAAGAAGGGTCGCAGTAGCTGCCCCTAATCCTGCTCCCAGTCCCTGCAGCGAGCGGGATGCATCGCCTACGGCGCTCGGGGAGGACCAAATCGCACCTGGCACCCGAGTCCGCCTGCCGACACCCCGCCCCACGCCGCCAGGCCTCGCCCCCCAGGCCCGGCCCCTCTTCCCGCGCCAACTCCGCGGTGTCTCTGGCGCCCCCTAGCGCGACTGGCGTCCTCCCCTGGCTGTTCGGGTTGAGGCTGGAGGTCTCAACACTGGCCTCATTCTAGCCCAGTATCTCAGTCTATAGATGAGGAAAGTTGCGGACCAGAGAGAGGTCAAGTTCCACTACCTGAAAATGGCTCTACTCACTAAGGTACAGAGCTTGGATGGGAATCCAGGTGTTTTGACTCCCAAGGGAAAGCTCTGCACAGCAGTGTTCAGTCGGTTAATATAAAATGGCATAGGGTTTGCCTACAACCTATGCATAATCAGCGTATCATTTGTTTTGCAACAAAGTCTCATTTTGTAGTCAGGCCGGCTTTGAACTTCGAAATCCTCGGGCCTCAGTCCCCTGAGTGCTGGAATATCCTTGCTTCAAATCATCTCTAGATTAGTTATAAAACCCAATGCAGGGGCTGGAGAGTTGGCTCAGAGGTTGAGCGCTAGCACTGACTGCTCTTGCAGAGGACCTGGGTTCGATTCCCAGCACCGCATGATGGCTAATAACGGTCCTAACTCCAGTTCCAGGGGATCCAACGCCCTCTTGTCCTCCATAGACATTGCAGGACACAGGTACACATACACACACACATGCAGACAAAACACTCATACGCATAAAAATAGTAAAATATAAAAAACCCCAACACAATATAAATGCTATAAAATGGCTATATTGTCTTAGTCTGGAAATGAGAAAGGAAGGTCTGGAGATTGGGGATGTGGTTTTGTTGATAAAATACTGACCTAGCAAACTCCTGAGTTTGATCTTCAGCACATGAACCAGATATGGTAGCACACATCTGTAATCCCAGCACTCAGGAGATAGAAACAGGAGGATCAGGAATTCAAGTTCATCCTCACCTACCTATCAAGTTCAAGGCCATCCTAGGATACATGAGACCTCATCTCAAAAGAAAGGTATGTATATGCTCAGTAAAGACAAAGGTTTGGGGGGGGCTCCTTTTAACAGTGTTTTGGGGGTATTATTTTTATTTGGTTTGGAGTTTGGGTTTTTTGTTGTTGTTGTTTGGTTTTTATAGAAGGGATCTCACTGTGCAGCCCTGGCTGGCCTGGAACTCATGGAGATCTACCTGCTTCTGCCTCCTGAGTGATGGATTAAAGAAGTGTGCCACCATACCCTGCTGGTTTTAGGTTTGTTTTTTTTTTGAGACAGGGTCTCATGTAGCCCAGGCTGGTCTCAAACTTGCTGTGTAGTCAAAGATGAATTTGAATTCTTGATCCTCCTACCTTCACCTGTCAAGTGCTAAGATTACAGGCAGCAGCTACCACAACTAGCTTTCCTATTAATTTCGATGCTGTGTTCACTGAATCCACAGATGAAGAACTGTGGTGAAACTAACATAGTGCAGAGTACACATGCTCAGTAGAAGAGCAAGAGTAGCCTGCTCCAGAATGCAGGCCTGCTACTCCCATGGCTTGCAAGTTTTCAAAATCTCAAGCCAAAATTTAGATATTTAGGCAAAATTTCTTTTCACAGGAATGGTGACAGCATGCACAAATCCCATGCAAGTTCAAACCAGACAAAATCCCAGCACAGACATGGGGAAGTGGGTAAGAAACCCCAGCCTAAGGAAATTTTGACAACAGATGCCTTCTGGGAGGGGGAAGAGTCTTAAATATGGGACTCTTGGTAGGTTAACCAGGCTCCAGAAGACGGCCCGCACTCAAGGACATTTGGGGACACAAATTAGACTCTATAGGCCTTATTATATGTAAAATATACTACATTAAATCGGGTGGGGGAGCAATAAGGGGAGATGCAGATAGGGGAGGGGATCTAAATGCCATCAAATTGTATGAAAATCACAAAAATTCAATAAAATCTTTTAAAAAATGTTTTATTTTATGCATGTGTTTTGACTGCATGTAAGTGCACTCATGATAAGCAATGCCTGCAGAGACCAGAAGAGGGCATTAGGTCTCCTGGAACTAGACTTGTTAGCTGGCACGTGGGTGCTGGGACCCAAATCCCAGACTTCTGCAAGAGCAGCCAGTGCTCTTAACTGCTGAGCCATCTCTTCAGCTCCACAAAATTTCTTTATGTTGATAATAGTTGAAACTTCTAATAGTGCCATGTACATCAAATGAAACACATTTGTGAACTAAATTTCTGTGTGGGCTGACGGTTGAGAAGCTTCAATGTAGGGCTGAGAATGTAGCTCAGTTAGTAGAAGGCTTGTCTAACATGCATGAAGCCATGAGTTTAATCCTCAGCACTGCATAAACAAGGCATGGTGGTACATGATTGTAATCCCAACACTCAGCAAGTAGAGGAAGGAAGCTCAGACAGGAGTTCAAGGTCATCCTTGGCTACATGGTGAGTTTGAGGCCAGTCTAGGATAGACTCTGTTTCAAAATCAATCAATCAGTGTGACAGGCAGGGTACCACACAATTAGGGCAGCACTTTCCCTCTCCAGTGGGAGATTAGGTTCCTCCATGTTGTGATGGGCTGGCCATGTCAGCTAGTCCCTAATGTCCTCCTATCTGATTCTTTCATGTTGGGGTTAGGCAAATTGTTATAACCCTAGATCAGATTTAAGTAATGGAAAAAGTATTCAAGTGATCAGGAAAGGGGTAGGAATGGGGCCCAAGGAAATAGATCCTACCCCTAACTCCCCCACCAAAGTTCAGCCCTGCTACCTCTGGTTCCACCACTTGGGTAAACAAACCACACAGTTTTCTTCCTGCCTTGACTTTTCAGATCAAACTGACTGCTGGCTGAGTATTCCTTGTGTGGCCTGTATGTCCTAGTATGTATAAAGTGCTAGGGAGGAGAGCTGTGTCTGACTTTATCCTGGGCACCCTCTTCAGCCATTGGTTTGACTTGTGAGGAAGTAGCTGATTTATAGTAAACATTAGGTTGGTACTGAATTAAAGTGAAAGAATCCATGGGCAAAAAAGGAACATGATTTTTTCCATCCTGCACATGGAGAGAGGTCCTGCTGGACATGTGAGTGCATATACACACGAGAGAGAGAGAGGGAGGGAGGGAGGGAGGGAGAGAGAGAGAGAGAGAGAGAGAGAGAGACATATATAAGCACAGAGGTCAGAGGACAACTTAGCTCAGGTCATCGGGCTTTGCGGCAAGTGCCTTTACACAGCTAAGCCATCTCACCAGCCCAAGGATCTGAACTTTTGATCCTTCTGCCTCAGTCTCCCAAGTAGCTGGGATTATGGCCTTGTGCCAACAGGTCTAGCCTGAAGTTCCCTTACTTTGCATTCTCCTGCTATATCTTGGCACTGTTCAACTTGATAAATCTTAGCTCAAAGGTTAAGAGAAAAAAATGGGCTTCTTTTTAAGTATTTTTTAAAATTTTTATGTGTATGCGTGTATTGCCTGCATGTAGGTAAGTGCACCCGTGTTGTGCAATCCCCTCGGAGGACAGAAGAGGCTGTTGGAGTCCCTGGAACTGGAGTTATGGACAGTTAGCTGCCATGTAGGTGCTGGGATTTGAACCCGGGTCTTCTTCAAGAACAACCAGTGTTCTTAACAGCTGAGCCATCTCTCCAGCCCCAAAATGAGCTTCTTTCAGAGGGGATGACCTGTAGTTTTGGTATTAAGGAGCCTGAAGATGGGAGAAATTGATAACCTCATCAATAGTCTCCATCTCATTCCACAGATTACCGAGGAAGGCATACTCCCTGCTCCAGGGAGAGGAATTAATTTGAAGGCCCACCTGCTCTGTCACTAAACACAGGGAGAAATTTTAACACAGAATAATATGTAATTTCTCTAAATGGCACACTAGAGGGGTTGTCCCTAAAGATACTGGCAGGACACAAGCTAAGCCAGCACAGCAGTTTGCTGCTTGCAAGCTTAGGAATTCCATGCACTTGTCAGGACTAGGTCAGGCCTGAGAATAAAGCCAGACCTCCAGCTCGTACTTATTTCTGATTATCAGTGGGTATTTGAAGACATCAACATTACTAGACTACAAAGGCACTTCCCAGGGACCAAACTAGTGTGTCCATTCCCCAACCATTTATTTCCCAAGACATAAAGACCACACTCACAGTAATGTAAAACCATTTGTTTAATTCTAAATCAAATCACTTTCACAACAGTGAAAATTAGTGACTGGTCAAGGTGTGCTGCTGTACATTATTACCATTTTCTGACTGTGGTCAGGATCTGGTCCTTTTCCATGGGGGTGGCATAAGGTGAAGGTTGAGGACACAGAAAACACACAGAAGAAAGGAAAGCTGCCTTGGCCAAGGGGTGAGAGGTAAGCCTAAACAGAGCTATAAGGAAAAGGGGACTCACAAGTTGGCTCTCCTGTCGCAGGAGGCACCTGGGGACCTGTGAGGTTCACAAAGGGCATATGGCCATCACAGCTTTGCTGACAGCATGTTCCTGGGATGTCTCTGCTGTCAGCACTCTCCTAAGTTGACTCCATTTCACTAGAGTCCAAATTATTTGTTTTCCTACTCACAAGGCTTCTTAAATCTTTCTTCTGGAAACTCATTTCTTTTGGGTTCATTGACTGAAGTTTCCCTTCCACTACTAAGGGCCACACTACACCAAAGAATCCTACCAATTCTCTCTAAAACAGAGACACTCCAGGGGCCCCTGTGACTGGGGATTTCCAAGTGACAAAGAATATTTAAAACCTGTGAGGCACACTATCAAGTTGGTGGCTTATTCTTACCAGCTGGATTTGCCAAACCACCTACTTACTCAATACTTTATATTTTATGTTTCAACACTGAACACTGGCATTGGCAGGTGCAAAAACAAAGGGCAGGTGGGGACTGCGCAATGGGAAGGTGGGTTTCTCTCATCATCCTCAAGGTCTTGGGGTCAATAAATTATACAGAGCCACATCTGGACAAAGCACTAGGAAAGGCTTTCTCCCATTTACTGGCTATTGCTGGGGCAGTGGGTGCTGGAGAAGTGAGCAAAAGGCCAGTAGAAGCTCATCTTGCTTCACTGTTGAGGTCCCCAGGAAATCGCATTTTTAAGATAAAGCCTGGTAGGCAGAGTAAGAACTGTATCATTGGGTGAGCTAGTCTACCTACCTGGTACCACAGTCCAATTCTATTTAGAGGAAGCAGCTTATGAAATTCAAAAACAATTCAATTCATGGGTAGAATAATTTTCCCTGGATTCCACAGGAGGAAGACCACATCTTACCACTGTGCTCCCTAGCTTTACAAGTCACCTGGTGTTGCTTGCTCAGGAGTCACAAGCTTCCCTGGTTTTAGCACACATACCAGGAGTTTTCAGGGAAATCTATCAAGCCATACCAAAATCAAGATCACAGGTGGATCTCTCCAATCCCCACCTCTTTAGAGAATGGTGGTCTTCTATATACAGCTGGGCTGACCTGAGAAAGCCTCCAGTTTCTCTGGGCAAGTTCTGAGAGAGGGTTACTCAGAATTTCTGTAGTTTAGGAGGAGGGGCTATTTGTCCAGTTGTTCCCACATCAGAGCTCTGAAGCAGAGCTGTCATCTTGGCTTCAGCAGTAGTCTAGGCTGTTTTCCCTGTGGAAGAGAGGAGCATATGCACGCAGTTCCCTGTGGAAGAGAGGAGCATATGCACAGTTTTGAGGAGAGAGCTGATGGGAAATCTATGAGTCAGGTGACACTAGGGACAATCCACACCAGGAAGCCAGGTCATTCAAGTTGCTTTCTAGGGCCAAGACACTGAACAAGGCCCACAGCTGACAGAAGACTGAGTCTCCGATAGAGTCATGAAGCAACTTCAGCTTCAGCTGCTGTAATTATGCTCTTTGCTGAGGAAGGGGAGGGAAGGAAAGGCAGACAGAACAGCACTGGGATCTGGAAGGAAATCTCTGAATAAGAAGTGGAGGCCAATTACTAAGGGGTAAAGAGATGAAAGTCAATTCCCATAAATACCATTTGGTTCATCCCTTCATTTTTATAATATAAAGTTCAGGTGAAAGAAACTGTGTTTCTTTCTTCCCATTTCTTCCCTGTGTAGAATCAGGACCTGCTGAGTAGGCTGGACAGGACTTCACATTGCAGCCCATGAGGGCACTCAACACCAAGGCCTGAGGTTACAGAGGGTGTTTTCAGCAGTGGTGACACTTGGGAGTCCTCACCAACTGGTTTTGAGTTCCGAAGCTCTAATAGAGAAGCAAGACTCCTTGTTGTGTTCTGACCCTTGATTCCAGGGGTTGGTTGGGATTAGCCAGGAAGTCAAACACTAGAAGTGGGGGTGGCATATCACCAGTCCAGAGGCTCTGCTGTAGATGCAAACAGGAGTCCAGCATTAGGCAATCAGGAGCCAGAACATGATCACCAGGGCCACAAACAGGAAAAGGCGTGACAGGAACTGCTCATCCACATACTGAGGTGTCCCAGGGACAGCTAGAGAAACAGGAGGAAGAAGTGAAGTGTCAGAAGGCTGTAGCTATGCATGATGCTGCAAACAGCCAGAACTTGAGAGACTGAATCTTCATCTCTTTATAAATAACAGAATCCTGCACAATAAAAATGCTCTCAAATTCCAAATAATAGGAACCAGAACAAAATTATACAAAACAGTACAATGAGGACCTGATCTCCAATTATCTTTAAAAAAGTTGGCCTGCACATACAAATGAAGCAGTTGACTATCAGGAAACTCCTACAGGAAACAGTAAAAGGAAAGCTACTGTTACACATCTTTTCTATGCTGTGCTGGATGCACGTTATTAACTGATACTTTGTTTTGAGTAAGCACCAGAAGTACAGTATGAGGCCTTCTGAGGTCATAGGAGAGTCCTGAGGCAGCAGCAGAGATGTAATGGCCTCGATCCACTTATCTCACAGGGTTCCATGTCTGCCTTGTGTACCTGCTTTTTCCAGAAAAGAACTAAACCCCAGAAATCACATAGGAAGGTTGAGAAGAACTCGGCTAGAACCTTTGCTTTTAGAGAAGCTCTTATTTAAGAGTTCCCTGTACAGATTTTGGAGGAAAGAGAGTGAGAGAATTCACACTGGGAAAATTGTAACAAACATGACAAAGGAAAACTGTGATTATTTTAGTTACATAAAAAGACCCAGAGTCTACCCTGGCTATGAAATGATCTGGGAAATCCAGTCAGCATCTTGGACTAGGTAAGAAAGAGGCAAGCTACTAGGGAAGCTGCTGCTGCCTCTATAGGATCTGTCTTCCCTTTAGGGGAACTTGTATCCTGCCTTTTGGGATCCCATTCCTCTGAGAGAACATGTGAACAAGCAGAGAGATGTTCAAGGAAGATAAGGAACGGAGTGCTCCCAGTATCTTTTGGAGTTGTAGGACAGTCCCTAGCAGTTGGGTGTTCTGATAAACTCCTGCAGGCAGGCAATCAACAGACTTATCAATCAGTTTGGAATATAAAGGATTTTTCATGTACACCTACATGTAGTATATGCTCAGTATCACTGGCATGAGTGCCATAATCTGAAAAGAATTTAAGACATTTTGATAAGGCTAATTATACATGCCATGACAATTATCTATAACTTAACATACTGCCGAACCAAAGAGCTTTCAAGTAGGATTAATATGTTCCTGACTTTTTAAGGAAATAGGGCTTACCTGGAGGAGGCCGTCCATCATTTATGTTAAATGCTGTGGCAAATATCCCAAATGGAAATGCTCCAATTCCAAAAGACATTTGGAAACCACCATCTCCAAATCCAAATCCTTGAAATCCCTGTGTAGAAGAGCAATGAAGAACGGTGAGCCAATTTCTCCCACATCCATCAAATTGACACATCTTAAGTATAATAATACATGTGGGGCCCATGGTTTCTCTCTACCCTCTGCCACTGGTTTCCACAAGCTGTGGGTACAGCTCTTCCTCCGATACGGACCCCAAAGCAAAAAACTCTGGAGGTATCTCTGGCCTTCTAGCCTGAACTATAAGATAAGGATCTATAAATGGTCCAAAGAGGCCCACTCCAACCAAACATATTGCTGAGGAATGTCAGGGTTCATAGGGCTTGAAGTTTTTTCCAGAGTCCCACATTAGCCTGTAAAATTTCCTGCATGTTATTTATAATACATAACTGGTAACCAGTCCCATACCCAAATACAAAGGAGCATCAAAATAAGCTATGCATTATCTACAACAGCAAAAACAATGGAACTAATTGGTCAACAACAGAATTTAGGATCAAAATCTTGTTGACATATTTTCCAAGGACCATTGTTCTGATTTATGTTACAAAACAAAAAAATGCTTGTTGGGGCGCAGTGGTGCACGCCTTTAATCCCAGCACCTGAGGCAGAGGCAGGAGGATCTCTGTGATACATGAGACTTGATCTCAAATATATTTTTTCTTTTCAACTACATGATGGTATTCGGGCACATGCCTGCAATTCCAGGAGGCTGCAGCAGTTGGATAATGAGTTCCAGGATGGCTTTATCTATATAACTAGACTTGGTCCCAATACCAAACTCAAGTAAAAACAGAAAACACCCCCCCAATAAAACACAAATCCACATAAAAAATTACCATATAGTCACACAGAATTTTTTTTTTTTTTATCTTTTTGAGACAGAGTCTCCCTGTACCCCAGCTGTCCTGGAACTCACTATGTAGACCAGGCCTACCTCTGCCTCCTGAGTGCTGAGATTAAAGGTGTGTGCCACCACACCCAGCATGTCACACAGAATTTTAAATAATTTAGAACAATTTAATTTTTTCTTTTTCTGATTAAAAGAAATACATAAGTTAGGCATGGTGGTACACGCCTTTAGTCCTAGCAGAGGCAGGAGGATCTCTGTGAGTTCAAGGCCAGCCTGGTCTACATAGCAAGTTCCAGGCCAGTTGGACCTACGGGGAGACCCTGTCTCAAAAAGGACCCCCCCCCGCAAAAAAGCAAAAAGCTGGGTATGGTACTGCATGCCTACAGTCCCAGCACTTGGAGGATGGGGGCAGGAGGATCAGAAATTCAAGGTCATCTTTAGTTACACAGTAAGTTTGATGCCAGCCTGGGCTGAGATCATATCTCAAAAAATAAAAACAAACAAAAAACCCAGAAAATAAATAATATATACTTGATATAAGAAATTCACACATCATAGGATAACTAAGAAGTAAGTCAGAGACATCTCACAGCTACTATGCCTCCCTTGTCCCCACAATTCTTCCCAAATAACAACTGTCAGCAGGTTGGTGTAATGGCCTCAGTTTCTTTTTCCCAAGCATGCTTTACCAAATCATCTTTTCTGTGAAAAAATTAAGAACAATAATACTGTTAATAAATAATGCCTTGTTTAAGTACAAACTCTGTTGGGCACAAAGCACACAAATCTTCCCTTTCCTTCTCCCTTGTCTCTGACAGGACCTTACTATGTAGTCTATGCTGGCCTCAAACTTTCCATCCTCCTGCCTCAACCTTCTGAGTGCTGGAACTACAGGTGAGAGCTCCCAAGTGCAGCTTATGTTTAATTCTTGCATTCCCATCATGTGCATTCTATAAAAGACCAAACAGGTTTAAGAGTTGAAATAACTCAACCAAGTAGTAGAATTTGGATCTGAAACTAACTAAGTCAATATAATCTGAAAATTCACACTTACAAAAATTATAATCACCGCATGTAGGTGTGCACGCTATGGATGTGAGCACATGGGTGTACTTGTGGTCAGAGGACAACTTTGTGGAGTCAGTTCTCTCTTTTTCACCTTTATGTGAGTGCTAGGGACTGAACAAAGGTCACCAGGCTTACATGGCAAGTATTTTGACCCAAGGAACCATCTCACTGGCCCTAAAAACTCACTCTTTAAAAAAAAAATTTATTATTATTTTTTGTATGATTGTACTGCCTGCATTTAAGTGAACCCATGTCATGCAATGACCTTGGAGGTCAGAAGAGGGTGTCAGATTCCCCTGGAACTGGAGTTATGGATGGTTGTTAGCCTCCGTGTGGGTGCTGGGATTCGAACTTGGAACCTCTGCAAGAGCAGCCAATGCTCTTAACTGCTGAGCCACCTCTCCAATCCCAAAACTCACACTCTTAATCACTGTGCACAACTTGAAAATTATTTTTTCTTCCTTTGTATCCATGGTGAGATCTTTAAAATGAATGATGGAATGAAAGAAAGAAGAAAAAAGCACTGGACCAACTGTTCTCCACAAACAGCTGACATTTGTGACTCCTTTCCAAGTCACAAAAATGGCTGCTCCTTTTCCCTTACTGAACAGCCTAGCATCTGACTCCAGACTTCTTTTTGGACAGCACTACTTGAAAAGCCTAACACAACTTAAGAGAGCAACCCTATTAGGAAGAGAAACAACTGGTTTCCATCTCCTGGTGCAGAAATGCCTACTACTCAGACACAGCATGGTTGAATCTGAGGACTCCTGGGACAGAGACTGCCTGACTGGAGAAGGTGCAATTGTTTCATCAGGAATTATAGCTTCATTCATGCAGTCTGTGGAATGACCTTCTCATTTCCTTCCTACCAACATCTACATGATCCCACAAGTCCTTAAATATGATGAATTTATGTTCTTGAAGAAGAGTATGCAGAAAGTATACTAGCAGTTGCAGATGCTTATGATACTAGAGGTGTGTCCTCAGCCATCAAGGCCAAGACCTCTGGCTTCCTGGGGCCTTTGATTTCTGTTGGTTGCTAATGCTGCATGAGAAAGCAGAGCCTGAGAAGGTAAAGGAGCTGCTGCCTGGCAGTTAAGAACAGGATTTTCAGGGGCTGGAAAGATGGCTCAGCGGTTAAGAGCACTGACTGCTCTTGCAGAGGACCTGGGTTCAAGTCCCAGCACCCACATGGCGGCTAAGAAACGTCCCATCCTTAACTCCAGTTCCAGGGGAATCCAAAGCCCTCTTCTGATCTCCGAGGCATTGCACGAAACTGGTGCACCCACATGCATGCAGACAATACACTAATACACATAAAATAAAAATAATAAATAAAATATTTTTTAAAAAGAGCAGGAACTTCAATACCACCTGGATTAGGTTTCAGTTCTTTATGTCTCTGGACAGGTAACTACATACAACTGTACCTCAATTACCCCTTTTTAAATGGTTTAATATGAGGCTTAAATGAGATCATGCACATAAAATTCTTGAAATACAGTTTTTCTATAAAGTCATTCAAGAAATGTTTACTGCCAGGCATGGCAGCACATGCCTTTAATCCTAGCACTTGGAAGGCAAACACAGGCATATCTCTGTGAGATCAAGGCCAGCCTATTCTACATAGAGAGTTCCAGGCCAGCTATGGTTACAGGGAGACCCTGTCTCAAAAAAGCAAAAACAAGTGTTTACTGCTAATACTGTCATGGGCAATCTGGAGAAAGACCCCCAATTTCCATCAGATCCTGAATCTATACACCATTCCTGGTAATCCTAAGGAAACGCCCTATTTAAAAAGAAAATGTATGTATACAAAGATTATTACCATAATATCACTTAAACAGCAGGTTAATATAACGGACTCAGTCTATAAGCAACTTTAAGCCCCCCCCCCTTTTGGGGAGGGTGCAGTGTCTCTCTGTTGGCCTGGAGCTCATTCTGTAAACCAGACCAGGCTAGCCTCAATCTTACAGGGATCCTCCTGCCTCCACCTCCTGAGTGCTGGGATTAAAGGTACAAGCTACTGGCTAACTCTATGGTCCTTTAATTAAGAATATTGAAATCTAGGCTGGAGAGATGGCTCAGCGGCACTGGAGAGATGGCTCAGTGGTACCGGCTGAGGACCTGGGTTCAATTCCTAGCACTGGCTACAACCATCCATAACTCCAGTTCCAGGGGAATCCAACACCCTTTTCTGACCTCTTTGGGCATTGCACAATATGGGTACACTTACACACATGTAGGCAATATACTCATACACATAAAATAAAGATTAATAAATAAAACTTAAAAAGTAAAATATGGTTTAAAAAGGGTAGAAAAAAGTTAAATTTTTAAAGTTTTTTTTTGAGACAGAGTCTTCCTGTAGCCCTAGCTGGCCTAGAACTTGCTTTGTAGACCAGGCTGGCCTTGAACTCACAGAGATCCATCTGCCTCTGCCTCCCAAGTACTGGGATTAAAGGCATGCACCACCACACCCAGCCAAATTTCTTTTTTTTTTAAACAGTTGGTGTATCCCAAGCTAGCCTGGAACTTGTTGGTTAGCTGAGGATGACCTTGAACTTCTCATCATGTTGCTTCTACCTCCTGAGTGCTGAGATTATAGGTGTGCACCAGTGTGCCCAATTATGCAATGTTGAGTACTAAACCCAGGGCTTTGTGCATGCTCGATAACTTTATAAACTGAAGATCTCATTTATCCCAGGCTAGCCTTGAACTCACTATGTAGCTGAGGATAACCTTGAACTCCTGATTCTCTTGCCTCTACCATCAAAGTGCTGAAATTACAGGTTGAACCACTACATCTGGTTTACATGGAGCTAGGAATCAAACCCAGGACATCATACATGCTAAGCAAGCACTCCCAGCCCTCATTAATATTTTAATAATTGCTTAAAAAAAAAAAGTCAGGTGTGGTGATACATCTTAGGAGGCAGAGGCAGGCAAATCTCTGTGAGTTCAGGGCCAGCCTGGTCTACATAGTGAGTTCCAGGCCAGTCAAGGCTAAGTAATGCTCATACCCGACACTGATATCAGATTTAGGAAACTGTGGCTACACAGATTACATGCCATAGGGGAGAACCCATAAATTAATGCATCTCTCAACTCCCACCAGAGAAGCTTCCTCATTTAGCAGATGGTGATTAACAGAGACCCACAACTGGTCAACATGAAGAGACTAAGAGACTGCAGATAGCTTACTCCTGAATAACTTCTGTTTCCCAAGGCTCAAGGGATCATTTTGGAAGAGGGGTTGGAAAGACTGTAAGCGCCAGAGATGGTGGATGACTGGAAGAAAACAGAGTTTTCCAGACAGCTAGGCATTTACTCATATGAACTCATAGCAGTGGTGGCAGCATGCACAAGACCCATGTAAGCTCAAGCCAAAATCTCAGCATACATGTGGAGAAGAGAGTAAGAAACCCAAACCCTAGCTGAAAAATGATAAACGATAGCTGCTGGGAGAGGGAGAGTTTGTTTTCTTTAAGGGTGTGATGCTGGGTAGGTAACCAGCTCCAGTGAACAGACCCACACTGAAGGGCATTTGCAGACACAAATTTGACTTGATGGATCTTAAAATATATACATGAAAGAGTACATAAAATTGGGTGTAGAATAGTAAGGGGGTGCAGACTGGGAAGATGGTCTAAATATGACCAAAACATTGTATGAGCTCAAAAAAATCAATGAAAAATAAATTTAAAAGTAAATGCATAATAAAATATTTGATTTAAATATGCACACATGTTGAGTTAGCAATTCTAAGAATTTATTCTCATAAAATACTTGTGACTTTGCACAAAACTCTGTAAGTTCATCTGAGTACCATTTAAGATAGCAATAGTAATAGATAAATGCCCTGTAATGGATTAGTTACATAAATTATGTTAAGTCTACACAACTGAACATTAGCTGTTAAATATTATGGCAATGTATCATCAGTAAAATCTTAAGCTTCACTGTTGAAAGTCTTCAGTTTTAGTATAAACTCTGTGAGGACAGAGATCTTTCATTATGTTCCCTGATAAATCACCACTGTTATAACTATCAGACTACATTAAGGCACATAGTAACTGTAGAATAAATGAAATTTTAAGTTATAAAACAAGAGCCAAATATTATATATATAAAAAATGTAAACCAGGTATGGTGGCCTATCCTGTGGTATCAACATTTAGCAAGAGGATGTAGAGTTCTAGGCCAGCTTGGGATATATAGTGAAACACTGTCTCAAAAGCCCAAGATATTCGGTTAGAGAGATGGCTAAGTAGGTAAAGCGTGATGACCTAAGTTCAATTCCTGGAATCCATGATGGAAGGAGAGACCCAACCCCAAAAGTTGTCCTCTGATCTCTACACACATGCCTATGTTCATACACACACATCACATGTACACACAATAATAATAAAAGTTAAATTTTTAAAAATCCAAGGAATAAACATATAAAAGTACCACAATAAACACACACACATATATATATATAAATTAATAAAAAATGTGTGTGCATATGAAGTACAAAAAAAAAAAGAAAAAAAGAGAAAGACAAATGAAAAAGAAACAGGCAGAAACATTTCCGGCAGTTATATGAATGGTCGGTTATAAGGACCCCCTCTCTTTTCCTTTCTGTACTTTATAAGTTTTCCTTTACTTCTATAATCAAGAAGAAAAAGTATAAAATCAAGAGGAAAATTTCAAAAGCCACAGGTTAATTTTTAAAAGTTTCTCACCCCTCTGTTTTCTGGCTCTGGCCTCTGACCTTGAGGACGAGGAGGGGTCTTCTCTCTGAAAAGAAACAGTACAAAGTAAGGCCATTACAAAGTGTTTTGAGTTGCTGTGAGGACTGACCAATAAACAGGGTTAGGGCTACTTTACTGTCCAACACATAAACTTATGCTGAATTAACAATATTAACTCTATTCTACCTCCATGTACTTCCCAACTGTACAGAAAAACCAGATAAACCAGATAAGACAGTCAGTCATCAGACTGTACAACCTACTCCTGCAACAGAGATCCTGACACAGGCTGGTTATAAAAAATGACCAGTTGCCTTCCTTGGACCTGCATGATATGAGCTCATGATTGCCAGAAATCCCAAGGTCAAACTAAAACAAAGGATGGATTGTCAAAGAAGAGGGTGAAGATTCAAGGGCTCTCTCATCTGCCCCTATCTTTCACTTTGCCTCCATTACTCTTGGGTTGGTACTCTGTGCTACTTTATGCTTCTACATTTCAGCCCCTTTTCATTCAGCTAACAAATAGCTTGATTGAGAGTTTATTACACATCAGGTACTAGGCAGGATGCTACCAAAACTAAGACTGATCCTACTCCTAAGGTAATTAATGATAGTTTTAGGAAGGATGCAATCAATCACAATATAGAGTAAAGAGGCTTAATGTGTGTGATGGGAATATGGGTGACAGCAACTCATACGGGAAGAAAGAAGGTAACTGTAAAGCTGCTAATAAAAGATGGGTAGGAACTTGAAAGGGGATGGGTGGGAGATGATATGCTTCTGGAGAAATATGGGATGCCAGACCAAAAAGAGCTCTCAGTACTTTATACAGAATGCCCACCCACAACTCCATTTCTGAAATTCCAAACTTCATAGTCATTCAGACTCCCTGTCCTGCTAGACTACATTTCACTGCTGCAGCAATCCCACTCTTTAGACATTTTTCCTGCTACAAAGCCTGCTGCTTCTCAAGGTGCAGGAAGTGCTCTTTCACAGCACTTTGCATACTTGCAATCATGGTGTCTTGCATACTGCTAGGTTCCCAGGTCCAGCAAACTCTCTGCCTGCTGGTCTATGACACTGGGCAGCTATTTAACACAGTTCTGCAAATGACAGATCTTCTCTCTTGATTGCCTATGCTTGCCAGGTGACTCTCATCCTGATTAAAAGTGCCTCAAAAATCAAGCCATCAGTAAGCACCAAACTAAGGGTAGGTTTCGAGAGTGATGAATGGAAGTGAATTCATATCCAAGAGAAGAAATGGGTATAAGATGCATCATGTCTTTACCTGGGGTCCTGCTGCCCGGTGCTGCCCCTGCCATAGAGTGGGATGACTTTGTCTCGGCTAATGCCGGCTTTGCAAACTGGACACACTTGTCTGTTAGGTCTGGTCTCCAACCACTGTAAGTAAGAGATAAAAACACAAGAATGAAGCAGGGTGTGGTGGTGCACGCCTTTAATCCCAGCACTTGGGAGGTAGAGGCAGGCGGATCTCTGTGAGTTCAAGGCCAGCCTGGTCTACATAGTGAGTTCCAGGACAGCTGGGGCTATAGGGAGACCCTGTCTCAAAAAAGACCAAAAAAACCCCAACAAAACACAAGAATGTTCCAGGGACACCAGAGACTCCTCAGTTGGGTACAGGAGAACACAAGGCCAGAGTTCTTAAGTCAAATCACAATTTTAAGCAGCCCAAGTAGGGAACACCTTGAAGAACCCAAGTCTGATTCAGGTTCCTAACATTCAATAAATATTTACTAGTAGTAAAATAAAAATTGCCTTTAAATACCACATAATCAAACAGGCTTCTTCTTCTTTTGCTTCTCTCTAGGGACTGTGAGCAATACAGAGGAAGGACCTGTGAGCCCCAGGCAGACTGCTGGTGTGAGTACAACACACTTTAATCTCTGCCTTCCTTAAACGATCAATTTTATTATCATAAGGTAAGTCTTAATTTTCTGTGAGCTCTCATTTTTTTAAAAAAAGGTTTAGGGGCTAGAGAGATGGCTCAGCGGTTAAGAGCACTGACTGCTCTTGCAGAGGACCTGGGTTTGATTCCCAGCACCCACATGGTGGCTAGGAACCATCCTTAACTCCAGTTCCAGGAGAATCTAATGCCCTCTTCTGACCTCCATGGCATTGCATGACATGGGTGCACTCACATACATGCACATAAAATAAAATAAAAGCTGGGTGTGGTGGTGCACGCCTTTAATCCCAGCACTCAGGAGGCAGAGGCAGGCGGATCTCCGTGAGTTCGAGGCCAGCCTGGTCTACATAGTGAGTTCCAGGACAGCTGGGGCTACAGGGAGACCCTGTCTCAAAAAGACAAAACAACAACAACAACAAAAAAACCCACCTCTCATATATATATATATATATATAAAAAGATTTAGTTTATTTTTAATTATGTGTATGTGTATCTGTGTGGAGGTATGTACATATGAGTGCAGGTGCCCTCAGAGACCAGAAGAGGAAGTGGGATCCCCTGGAGCTGGAGTTGTAGGCCTGCAACTGTAGGCCACCTGAAATGGGTGTGGGGAACTGAACTCGGGTCCTCTGCAAGAGTGACTGGTACATCTGAGCCATCTCTCCAGCCCCGATTTCTCATTTTTGTAGCATTTCCCCAATATCTGTGTAACATTAGCATCTGGATATAAGTTAATCATTTTCTGGTGACAGTATTGTTTTAAGGGATACACTTTGCTTATTATTGAAATGCTATTAATGTTTTACATTAAAATGTTTTATTTAACTTTCTTAAAAAACGCTATACTTCTAATGTCTTTTTTTTCTTCTTGTGGCAGAGTCTCAGTGACTCAGGTTGGCCTCAAATTGGCTATGTAGTTGATGCTGACACTGAACTTCAAATTCTTTTACCTCCTAAGTGCTTGGATTGCTAGAGTGTGCCATCACGCCCAATCTATGATTTCTTTCTAGATACTGGATAATTTTGTATGCATATTTTCTTAACTTTTACTTATTTTTAGTATGGATTAAACTCAGAACCTTGCATATGCTAAATACACACGGTATAGATGAACTTATTTTAGGACATAAATTGCATCTTTAGTCCTAAAGATATAAAGCTTATTAGACAAACATGAACCAAAGAGGTCAAGGACACAAAAATGGCAGCATTTCATGATTTTACATTCTATGTCCCTGACAACATCTCCAAAACTCATGTTGTATGATCTTCCAGGGCTCACACCAACATGTTGTGCCAGGTTCTGCTTGGGTCAGAATGCTCATTCCTACCTCCCTCTTCTTTCTCCTACTCAAGTTCTGAGGTGCTAGCAGCTTGGTACTTGTCCTCTCCCCACATTCTCTAAGCTACCTGTGAGTGTGGAGCTCTACTGCTGACAACCATGGAGATGGTTAGCTGGTTGTGACTGTTCATATTCAGCTGCCAATGCCAGGTTCAGGTCCACCTTACAAATGGTTAAGTGATTAATAACTGGTTTTCATAATAAGTCAAAGCTAGGAAAATGGACCTTTTTCCTTCACAAAAGTTATCTAGTGATATAAAAAGAGTTTACCTCTTCTTAACATTTTCAAGACCTTTCAGGAAAGAGGGAGTATTATTATGAAAGGAAGTTTTTTTTGTTTTTTTTTTTTTTGGTGTTTTTGAGACAGGGTCTCCTTGTAGCCCCAGCTGTCTTAGAACTCACTATGTAGACCAGGCTGGCCTTGAACTAATAAGAGATCCACCTGCCTCTGCCTCCGGAGTGCTGGGACTACAATCGTGTACCATCACGCCTAGCAAGGAGGTATTTTTTTAAGATTTGTCTTTTATTTGTGTGTGTGTGTGTGTGTGTGCACGTGTGTGTGTGTGTGTGTGCGCGCGCATCTGTGAGGCAGAGAGAGAGAGAATATGCACCCATGCATGTGGATACCTATAGAGGCCAGAAAGATGGTGCTGATCTCCTGGAGTTGGAGTTACAGGTGGTAGTGAGCCACTCAATGTGGATGCTGGGAACTGAACTCTGGTCCTCTGTAAGACCATCAAGTGCTCTTAACCACAGAGCCATCTCTCCAGCTCAGTAGGTACCTTTTATAAGTATGAAGTTCAAAAATAAAACAGAGCCTAATAGCTGGGAATATAGTTCAGTTGGTAGAATGCTTGCTTAGTATTAATCACACACTTGAAGTCATGAGGATCAGGAGTTCAAGATCATCCTCAACTACATAGTGAATTTATGGATAGCCTGGGCTACATGAGACCCTGTCTAAAATTAAAAAAAAAAGATCTATATTATCAAATATGTCACTGAGACCCAGAAAAGTGGTGGCCAGCTAAGGCCACAGTGGCTACTGGGAAGAATCAGGACCAACTCAGATATGAAATGACCTCCTTATTATATCAAATGCTTGCCAATGGGTAAGTGTGTAAAAAGGGCTAAGGGTTAAACAAGTAACCAAGCCCAGAAGCAGAGGAGATTGCAGTGTCTGACAGTAGTCTACAGAGACTAGGGCTGTCTTGTGCAACTACAGCTGATGAAAGACAAAGTAAAATGAAATTTACCTTACCTGATGTAAACATGGCCAACTATCAGAGTCCCCAGGGCAACCAGTCATCAGGAAGGAGAAAGGGAAGAAGGAGAAAAATGCTTTCATTAGCAAAAACACTTGAGTAGGGAAGGAGCATCAGAATCTGGCCTGAGGCATGGAACCCTACTGAAGGATTTACAGGGATTACTTGGCATCACAAATGAGGAAAGGATGACTAAGTTTGGTGTATAGGCTCACATCTGTTATCTCAACACTTGGGAGGTAGAGGCAGGAGAGGATCAGGAGTTCAAGGTCATCCTCAACCGTATAAATTTGAGGCCAGCCTGGGCTACATGAAACTCTGAAAAGAAAAGGCTAAAGCCACAGGAAAAACAAAATAGCAGAGATAAGATTTCAGTCTCCACCCCTGGGATTCCAAGACAAATGTAGACTTCCAAGGCCCAGACAGCTCAGATAAAGCTTATCTACACATTAGCCTTTGAAAGGTTACAGGCTCTGAAGGAATCCAATAAAGCTAGGTATCCTCTGTAGGAAATTCAGAGAACTGTCATGCAACATGCATGCATATACACAAGCAAGCAGGTACAGACAACAAACACAATTTTATAACCAATGTCAGTGGGTTCATAGTCTCCTTAGGCTCGTAAGTGATGTGTGGATTCTCTGGTAGTCCAGATTCAGTTTACAAACTTTCAAGGCTGACCAAAGTCTTCAGAGCTCTCTTGGCAGGAAGTAGCTTAAAAGTGCAGGCCTACTTAAAAGTGCAGGCCTCCTTTATGTAATGGAAAGGATAGAGAGGTTACTTGGCAGAAAGTGTCGCCTTCAATTTATAGAGCTGTTGCTCAATGTCTCTTTAAAAAAAAAAAAAAAAAATTATAGCCAGGTGTGGTGGCCCATGCCTGTAATTCCAGCACTTGGGAGGCAGAGGCAGGCGGGTCTTTTTGAGTTCGAGGCCAGCCTGGGCTACATAGGGAGTTTTAGGACAGCTGGGGCTACAGGAGACCCTGTCTCAAAAAGACCAAAAAAAAAAAAAAATTATAATTTTTATTCATTAGACATAGGGTCTCACTATGTAGCCAGACTGGCCTCAAACTCATGATCTTCTGCCTCAGACTTCAAGGGTGGTAGGATTATAGGTGTGCACAGCACCCCTGGCTCTAATGCCTCATTTTTCAAAAGCAGAAGGCAAGGCTCAAAAACATGTAACAACTTACACTGGGACCAAAAACTCTTTACTGCTCTTTTAATATCTAGCTCTGCATACACATACACACACACACACACACACACACACACACACACACACCCATGATATTGAAGGGAAAATTATTCAATTCCAGATTTTTTTTTTTTTTTTTTTGTCTTCTTGAGACAGGGTCTCCCTGTAGCCCCAGCTGTCCTGAAACTCACTATGTAGACCAGGCTGGCTTTGAACTCACAGAGATCCGCCTGGCATTGAACTCACAGAGATCTGCCTGCATTTGCCTCCTGAGTGCTGGGATTAAAGGTGTGTGCCACCACGCCCGGCCTCAATTCCAGATTTTTAATATTTCTTTTCTTTCTTACTAATTAATTCATTCAATAAATATCTACTACAATGTACTATGTGGCAGGGCAGTAGAAAATGTAGCTACAGTGCCTCTCATAATCATGTCTTTTCTAGCTGAGTAAAACTTTGGACTAGGAAGAAAGTACCTTTCCCAATTCTTGAATGAGGCTAGTTTCATAAACCAAATACACAACGTTGCTAGACATAACAGATGCCCCACATCTGACTCCAACATAAAACTCCTGGTGCTACTCTAACCTCTACAGATGGCACCCCAAATCACAGGAGACCTCCACTAGCAGCTTCCCTCAAATGCTATGGAGAAGTAGAGGTGAATGATAACCCTCAGAGCAAAGCTCAGGATAATAAGGATAGGATTCAGGAGGCAGAGGCAAGAGGACTGTCAGAAGTTCAAGGCCAGTCTGCTCTACATAGTGAATTTCAGCCCAGCTAAGGTGACATAACAAGACCTCTCTGAAAAACAAAACACACAGAAATAATTTTTCTGATTCCTCCCTTTTATTAAGTAACAACTGTGTCAGAGTGTGATTGAATAGATTTTTACTAATGTCACTGGATGGTCACTAGGGGATACAATTACTACCACTTTACAGAAGAGGAAACTGAGGTATAGAGACAAATTTGCCTAATGACATGCTATCCAGGCTGGAACCATCTGCTTCATCTTTGAATCTGTGTTCTTCCCAATGGTACCCTGCGTCTTAATTCTCAATTCTGTCACTCACTTTAAGATCTGGTTTTATGGTACCCTGAAGTATCTCCAGTTTCTAAGATAAGGCTGATCTACATGAAACAACAATTAGAGCAAACATCTCAAGAACAAAGGTCTCTAGTCTATTCTATTAACTCATTAATAAATTTACCTTTTATACTGTTGAGAATTTAAATTTCCCTAAATATTGCTCACATGACCCTTTTTTCACACCACATTCCTGCATTAAAACACTTGATAATCTGGCCCAACCTTCACAATGGTTCTTGTACCTTAAAATACCCAGCCTCCCACCCAGGGTTTTGTTGAGAAGTGGACAGCAGACTCAGGGTCCCAGATGAACCCAACAGTACAAATGCTCATCTCTAGAAATGGCTGTTTTAAAGTGGTACATACCCTTCACCTTACGTCTACTTTCAAGGTTCCCTTCTAGCCTTCAAAGTTTAGCTCAAAATCTCAATAGGAAAAAACCAAACTACTACTATTCAACATTCACTTCAGTTCTCAGAGACAGCAGGGGTTTCTGTAACCACCGAGGCTGGAAGGACACAGAGCCTGCCACTTCATTTCAGAAGCATATGCATAAAATATAGTAACATTTAAAGTCATAGCTAACATAGTATTTGCTGCATGCTATGTGCTCTACTAACATGTTTACTATTTTGGGTCATTTAATACTGAGAAAATCCTGTAAAATGAGGCAGAGTGCATGTAAGCACCCTGTCCAAGATCATCAACTGGAAAGTGGTAGAGTCAAGACTGAGGAGGAGGAAGCCTGGCTCCACAGAGTTCTTGCTCACAACCACTATGTAATATTGCCTGTAGGCTTAGCATAGTAAGTGACAGTAGATGCTCACTAAGTGGTGTAATTACTGGAGAGTTTGGAAGAAGACCAGGGTGGAAGTATGATTTTCTGTAGGTCACCCAGTCCTTCAGGAGTAGACCTGGGATGGAAACAGGTTTCTCACTCCTTGGGTCTGAGTGTATCAAGACCCAAAATGGGCAAGAAACTTTCTTCTCCAAATATGCCCAGGGTCATGGGCTTTCAAACCTGGCAGTGTGTCTGAAGAGATGGCAGCAGGGGCACTCACCAGAAGAGGTGGCCACACAGGCTGATGACGGCGTCCTTGGCTGTATCCAGGCATATGTTGCACTCAAAGGTGCTGTCCTGACCTCCACTCTCGCCAGTGCCATTGCTGCTGCCACTGGGCCCCCCTGTATTGGAATTCTCAGTGGATGCAGAGGCCGAGGGCCCCTTGCTTGCCATCCTTGGCTGCCAGCAAAGCTTTTAGTGAAGATTCTCAAGGAAATCCTGAAAGACAGAAAGCCCTTGATTACTCATTTCTTCAGCCTACTTCCTCCAACTTCCATGCCAACACCTCAATTTTCTCTCAGCTCTGGACTATGGTTATGACCGAATCTTCAGACAGATTTCCCAGAGGGTCACAAGGATGATAACTGTGGGGCATCTATGTACTTCTCATGAGCTGCTCATGAACATGGCCAAAATACACCTCATAAACACAAACTACAAAAACAGAGTAGTCTCTAGAAGGTTCTCAATAGGAGCTTTCTCATTTGTCTATATATTCTCCTGTACGTCCAGATGGTAAGCATATGCTCCATTAACCTGAACTTTCAGGCTGTCTTTTATTTTTGGTTAACGTCTATGTTGGCTAGGAGAACAGAATCTACTCAAGGCTGTGATTGGTATATGCCAAAATATAAAGGAATTCATGTAACTGTGAAAGACTAGGAAGCTTGGAGCAGCCAGATGATGGCCTTCTGCACTTGGCATTCCTCTTTCTGCCACGCTGGAATACTACTTACCTGATTTTGTATAAATTTACCAACATATTTAAGGAGGAAGTTTATGTCACTTGTTAATGATATAGTATTACTTACTATATGTGAAAGATAAATATGAACGTAATGAAGAAAAAGTTGTCTACTCTCATACCACCCAAAGTCATCTGTACATTATGCTATGCTCTGGGCAATCCTGACCTAGTCTGATCTTTTCAGGAAACTGCAGCCGGAGTTCCCTGGCTAGCTGACTAGTATGGGTTTGCGACCAGAACTCATGGCACACTATTTGTATTCAAACCACCGCACCACCATAGACAAAGCTGGTAATCAAATCCAGTGGAAACAGATCACTGTTAACTACTACCTCCAAGCCAAAGAACTCAGGCAAGAAGACTCAAGCGAAGGGACACTCAGGAATTCTGAGTACACATTAAGAATCTGTCAGCAGCCTCATTTGGTTGCCCTCATTATCTCAGAAATTCAAAGTAGGAAATGCTGACTGGCTACCATAGTCAGAGAAGTGTAGGTTTAGACTCAGCCCAGCCTCTAACTTGCTAGGAGCCACATTTTTTTCTGGCCATACTGCTCTCGTGTACAAAATGAGGACTCACCCCTGGAGCACCAGAAGACCACTTGATTTCAGCTTCCACAGTAAGAAAAGATGAAGTCCAACAAAGTTGGTTTTATCAGACCAAAAAGCTTTCAACTGAGCCTTCACAGGGCAGACTTAGCTTGGGACTCATGAGCATCTCTCACTACAGCAACAGCTTAGTGACTTGAGCAGGGAGAGAAGCTGGCTCTCCACCACTTTTTCACTCAGTTACATCATTTTACGTGATGTCCCAGAAGGGCAGCTGCCTGCTAACAGTACGGGAGTCTTGCAAGTCTCAGCTCCAAGCCCTTCTCCACGGTGGAAAGCTTCCTCCTCTGCTAAAACTTTATCTTTCTTTGTTTATTTTTAGTGTGGTGCTGGAGGGTGAACACAGGCCCTCAGTGTTAGGTAAACATTAAGTACTTCACTACGGAGCCATATTCCCAAGCTCAAGTGTTTCTTTGTTGAAAAATTTTTCATCTTTTTTTTGGGGGGGGGGCGGTGCTTTTTGAGACAGGGTCTCCCTCTAGCCCCAGCTGCCCTGGAATTTGCTATGTAAACCAGGCTGGCCTTGAACTCACAGAGATTCACCTGCCTCTACCTCCTGAGTGCTGGGATTAAAAGAGCATTAAAAGACACCTGACACCCAGTTAAAATTTTTATCTTTTAAAATTAAGAACTAGCTGGGCATGGTGGCTCATAACTTTAATACCAGGACTCTGGATATTTAAGGAATTGTCAATAGGGAATAAAATCAATCTACCTGACAATAAAGAAAATCACATTTATTTGGGGCTAAATAGAACTGTAATCCAAGAAAACACAGATTTAAACTGACATTATTAATGTGTTCTAATGTCTTACAGAATTGCATCTTTAAACTGGCAAAGGATTAGAAATGTGTATCTTGTAAGAAGTTGATTGGGGGTTCAGAAAGATGGCTCAGCTGGTAAAGGAATTGCTGCCAGACCTGATACCCTAAGTCCTATGCAGGACCCACACGGTTGGAGAGAACTGACTCCCCTGAAAGTTGTCCTCTGATCTCCACACATGTGCTATGGCACTCATGCATGCTCACAGACACACAATAAATAATTAAATGTAGTTTAATTTTTTTTTTAAGAAAGAGAATTGAGTAGTCTCAGTCTGGGTAGTTTGAAGAAAGGGGTCCTTTGTGTAAAAATAAGGAGACATTAACAATAATTCAAAGGTCAAGCTGGGTATGGTAGCATAATCCTTTAGTCCCAGCACATAGGAGGCAGAGGCAGGTGGATTTCTGTGAGTTCCAGGTTAGCCTGGTCTACATAGGGAGTTCCAGGCCAGCTGGAGCTACAGGGAAACCCTGTCTCAAAAAGATAAATAATAATAATAATAATAATAATAATAATAATAATAATAATTTGAAGGTCAACTCCTATCTGGGTGTGGGCCTGTCCAGCTTGTTTCAAAGGCTCAGCTGTGGAAATGCCTAAAGTCTGATTAACAATGGCCTTCCCATTCCATTTTGTCTCCCAAACCAATGCTACATCTGTTTTATTTTTCCTTGGCAGAATTAGTGTTAATTTTGTTGGGTTTGATCGTGGTATTATGAACTTAAAAATAAATTACCATCTGTGGGTTGGGGAGTCAGTGAAGTGCTTGCTATGCAAGCATGAAGACATGAATTCGATCTCCAGGAGCCATGTAAAAAAGTCAGGCATAGCCGGGTGTGGTGGTGCACACCTCTAGTCCCAGCACTTGGGAGGCAGAGGCAGGCGGATCTCCATGAGTTCAAGGCCAGCCTGGTTTACATAGTGAATTCCAGGACAGCTAGGGCTAAAGGGAGACCCTGTCTCAAAAAAGAAAAAAAAAAAAAAAATCAGGCATGAGGATACACTTGTAATCCCAGTATGGGACGGGGGGGCGAGGAAGTAGGGGAGACAAGTGACTCCTGGAATTTGCTGGCCACCAACATTGCCTAATCAGGTGAGCTCCAAGTAATAAGAGGCTCTGACTCAAAAAAACAAGGCAGATTGCTCCTGAGGAAGGACACCCAAATGAACACACACACACACAAATAAATTACCATCTGACTATACATACTGAATATTTATGAAAGAACGGTAAGATGTTTGGGATTTACTTTAAAATATTCCAGAGTGAGACTGGGACAAAGGCTCACTCAAGTCAAATGCTTGCTGCTTGCCTCTCACATTTGAGGACTTGAGTTTGGGTCCCCAGCACCTTCCATAAAAAGCCAGGCTTGGTTGCACCATCAGTTACCATAGTGCTAGAGGTGTGGAGACAAGCAGATCCCTGAAGCTCACTGGCCAGCCTAGTCTAGCTGAATCATTAAGTTCTGGGTTAAGTGAGAGACCCTGTCTCAAAAAATAAAGTGGAATGACTGAGGAAGACACTTGACATCCAACTCTGACCTCCACATACCTGTATGCACATGTATGTGTTCACACACAAACACACACACACACACACACACACACACACACACACACACACACACGGAGGTGGGGGGTGAAAGTGGAGAGAAAAGATGAAACAAGAACATGGGCGTTATTAGAAATGAATGATGAGAGGCTGGAGAGATGGCTCAGCGTTATTAGAAATGAATGATGGAGGCTGGAGAGATGGCTCAGCGGTTAAGAGCACTGACTGCTCTTGTAGAGGACCCAGGTTCGATTCCCAGCACCCACATGGCGGCTGCAAACCGTCCTTAACTCCAGTTCCAGGGGAATACGAAGCCCTCTTCTGACCTCCGCGGTATTGCACAACATGGGTGCACTCACATACATGCAGGCAATATATTCATACACACAAAATAATAAAAATAATAAACAAAATATTTAAAAAAGAAATGATGAGGATTATGTACTACTCTATTTTTGTGTATATTTGAAATTTTCCATAATAAATTTTGTTTTGCTTTGTTTTGAGATAGATTCTCCCTATAGCCCTGGTTGGCTTGGAACTCACTACATAGAGCAGGCTGACCTCAATCTCAGAGAAATCCACCTGTCTCTGCCTCCTAAGTGCTGGGATTAAAGGTGTGCACCACCACACCTGGTGAGTTTTATATTCTTATCCTGTTTTGATTTTTTATAACAAGCAGTTATCAGTTTTATAACTTTTAAAAATTCAATTTCTTTTAAAAATATTTTATTTTATGTGTATGAGTGTACTGCTGGCATGTGTGTAAATGCACCTGTGTCATATAATGCCTGTAGAGGTCAGAAGAGGGCACTGGATTCCCCAGGAACTGAAGTTTTGTTTTGTTTTGTTGTTTTTGGTCTTTTTTTTGAGACAGGGTCTCCCTGTAGCCCCAGCTGGCCTGGAACTCACTATGTAGACCAGGCTGGACTTTAACTCACAAAGATCCATCTGCCTCTACCTCCTGAGTGCTGGGATTAAAGGCATGCACCACAACACCTGGCAGAACAGGAATTACAGACAGTTGTTAGCCACAATGTGGGTGTTGGGAATTGAACCTGGTTCCTCTGCAAGAGGAGTCAGCGCTCTTAACTGCTGAGTCCTCTCTCCAGTCCCTTATAATAAGTTTTTAAAGAGTTGTAAAATATATGTATATTTGTTACAATAATAAATATTAGTATGAGGAAATCTATCTATCTATCATCTATCAATCACCTATCAATCATTTGGTCTTTTTGAGACAGGGTCTCCCTGTAGCCCCAGCTGTCCTGGAACTCATTATGTAGACCAGGCTGGCCTTGAACTCACAGAGATTCATCTGCCTCTGCCTCCCAAGTGCTGGGACTACAGGTGTGCACCACTATGCCTGGCTTTATTTTATTTATTTTGGTCTTTTTGAGACAGGGTCTCCCTGAAGTCCCAGCTAGCCTGGAACTTACTATGTAGACCAGGCTGGCCTTGAACTCAGAGATCTGCCTGAATGCTAG